GGGTGATTGGACATGGCGTTGGATACGGCTGGAAATCCATATATGTGTGTGCATGTGCGTGTGTGCGCGCGGGCACGCGTGCGTGCGTGTGTGTAGTATTATAGTAATATACTAATAATGCAGATTAATGGGTGCACACAGCTGCTCCCTGCTACCACTCAAACTATGCTGCTATGATTGCTAGTGCTGTTACTGCATGCTCATGCTTTGCTGCTGGCTACAGTCACGTGCACTTTACATCACGGTAACCATGACGACTAAACATCATGGTACATGCACACATGGTACTCTAATCAGTAATCTCTATGCGACGTGGCATTCTGCTTGTTATTCAACGTGACACTCAACCAAGCATTCATTTGTGCGTGTCGCTCAACGTAAACGGCATGCGCCGTGGCATTTGAAATCTGCAGATGTTTGAGAGAAACGGAGTCGCAACTCACAGCGCTTTACCAGGTATAGGCTCGCCTTTGGCCTCTATTTGCAGCCAGAGTCAGCGCAAGTCCACTCCTCTACGCTCTAGTAGGCTATGTCGGTATGGGTGTCGGGGCTGACAACCTACTCACCAGTTCTAGTCCAGGAAGCGATCTTTGTGTCCCAGCACGCGCGGATCACTATGGAAGGAACTAAATCTGGTGAACGAGCAGGCAAGAATCCCCCAGAGATCAGAGCAGCTGGGAATCCATTTATGGATATTATCTCGTGCCGGTACGCGGTACTTGTTTCGTTCCGTTTAGCCGAAGGTATGATTTCAAACAACTGAACGACGAAAATGATTCATCGTCGCCTCTTTGCAGTAGTTGCCGATACATCCTTGTTGGAGAGATTGCAACTAGATCTGTCACTCCCTCTGAGTCTCGGTAGAGCTCTGGCCCAAGCTGGCCAGAAGGAAACTGTTCATCAGCAACAACCTGGTTGGTGAAAGTTCTGCACCGTCAGACCGCTGTACAACTTCACACAAAGTAAGTAATAGTTACTAGTATAGTGTACATAGCATGGTTTGAACAACCACATCACTCACACTCTCTGTGTTCGTGAGTCATATGCACTGGAGCTGCATACACGCACTGACTTAGTCGTCGTGTCTCTGATCGTCAGGATGGTATACTGTACTCCGCAACCACTATCTCACTAAGGTGGTGTGTAACATCCAGCCCAGTGCCCAGTGTCCAGTGTCCAGTGCCCAGTGCCCAGTGCCCAGTGCCCAGTGTCCAGTGTCCAGTGCAGTGCAACTGCCATCCTGCCACTTCAACTGCTCATGTTTTGCAGCACAGACAGTATACTGACACAGTGGTCATTCCTACTTTAGTCTGCGCCCACTGACCCAGTCACAGCCTAACCCTGGCATCAAGCAATCAATTACATTATTGTAGTAATAGGTCTACCTGTCATTGCCAGCAACAATCCTTCTTTTGTCAAAATCAGTTCTGCAACCTCAGGCTGTGCAACTCCACACCAAGTCACTAGTACAGTGGACATAGCATTCTTTGAACAGCTGCATCACTGTGTTTGTGAGTCATGTGCACTGGTCCTCTGAGTTGAATGCACAGTGCCATAGCCATGCATAGTCATCTTGTTGATGATCACAACCATCTTGTGGCAGTGTGAAACCAGTTACATCCAACACAGTGCAGTGCATCTTTCAATCCTGTCACTTCTACTGCTCATGCGTTGCAGTACCATACACACAGTGGTCACCCCATCTTTAGTCTGCACCTAGGCACAGCCCTAGCCTGGGCATCAATCAATCTAGTACTACTACTAGTCGGTCTACCTGTCATTGGTGGGGTAACGAACTCCCTCCCCCTCACACACACACACACACCATTGGACCATTGGACGCCCATCGCCGGAGTCGATGATAGCGATGCTACAGCAGAAGCCATAGCAGCTTGTGCTGGGATTGCACCATGCAACAGCTTGCAAGGCTGAAGAATTGACACACACACACACACACACCCACACACAAACACACACACACAGTGCATCAATCAATCAATTACTAGTACCTATCACTTTTGAGGTGCACTACCCAAGTAAGTCAAAGGCTGGCCTATGCCCATGGTGTTGCCGTCTGCTCCAGTTTGGATGAGGGTTAGTACTGTTGCAGATGACACTGGCATCCCAACCAGATTGTACAGCCAGCTGTTGACGTGTTGCATGAATTCCGTCCGCCAGCAGATATGATTGGGCCACTCTTGTGCAACCATCTATTTGGTTTTCCAATATAACGCTCAACCTATCTAGTATCTGCCACACTCGACAGGGGTTGCGTCCTCAAGCACGAACTCGCCTGCCTTCTAGGCCAACTCACATTCGCGTCCCACCATCTGCCCTATGCTGCCTGTCTGCCCTTTTCAAGGCCACATCTGAGATATCATCCCACAGAATGCTGCACCTCTCAGCCTCAGCCAAGGATGACCTGAGCTGGTGGCACCAGACTTTGTCAACATATTGAAGGTGGGCACACACCGTTTAGTTCTCCTGTGGTCATTGCACTCGTCCGCACCCTCTACTTATCTGTGTCCAGCAACACTAACTGTTTAGAGCATCATACTTGCCAGTCAACTCCAATGCCGGTGGCTGATGCTCTGTACGGACCAAGTTGGATGCCTTCACAACCTTTGCTCCTACTGCTGCGGAGCGGCTTGACGCCAAGGTCAAGCCGATCACTGCAGCAAAGTTCTTCCTTCTATTTGGGCAAGCTCCCTTTGCTGCACAAGCAATGTTCCGGCGTAGAATGCTGGACACCGGCAAGGAGCTCATCAAGATAATTGTTTTACTGCGAGACATTGGCTGTGTTCACATCTGTGTTGCTTGAACTCTTCTCAGTATCCTCTTTATCACATGCTGTCTCAATACACAAACAAATAATGCCTAGCCAAAGAGGGACTTTTCGATCCCCTCCCTCAGACCTGTCTATCCTCTTGGCTCAGCCAAAATCCTGCTCTGGCAGTGACCTCTCTCTTGGTTCCGCCAAGATCCTGCTCCGCAGTGAACCCTCTCTGACTCCTCTCTTGGCTCCGCCAAAATCCTGCTCCGGCAGTGATAATGCAGAATAATGGGTGCACGAAAGCTTCGTGCTACCGCTCAAGCTATGCTGCTATGTTTGATAGTGCTGTTGCTGTGTGCTCATGCTTTGCTACTGTCTACGGTCGTGCGCACTGCACTTCACGGTGACTATGTCGGCCAAACAACATTGTGTATGCACGAGTGACGGTACACTCTACGTGTCATTGAATATGTCACTCAACGTGTGGGCGACGTCCAACGTTTCTTAGTTTATGTGTGTGTGTCTGTGTGTGTGTGTGTGTGTGTGTGTGTGTGTTTATATATGTGTGTCCCATATGGTGCAGTGGTATGCGCAGTCGATTTCCAATCGAGAGGTTGCGGGTTCAATTCCCGATGATTATGGCCGCACACGACTTTCTCCTACCTCTTCTTTTATTCTCCTGGGTGGTTACCAACAGCCAGTGTATGCACGACTATGTGGTGTGGTGTGTGTGTAAAAAAAATTAAAAAGAGAAAAGAAAAAAGAAAAATGAAAATTAGTAGGGGTGAAACGATTAGTTCGAATATCCGAGTATTCGTTCGAAAATTTCAAACGAGCGAGTACTCGAAATTTTGTACTCGATCGATCTTTCAAAACTTTTCCCGTACACTGTGGCCGCTGGTTGCATGCATTATGCATACCTTTGAGTCAGTATTTTATGACTTGGACGACGCGATCATCGACTTTACTCCAGGTCACGGCAAGGCAAGCTGTGAGATACGACAGCTAAAAGTACAATGTAGAGACGTTGGACACTCGCGCGGCGACTTCGCGCTGCATTCAACTGCAAGTGTAGCAAACGGTAAGTTACTGGTACTTCGAAGTAGTTTGTGGATGCATTGTAGTTTTGTTACTTACTTGATCTTGTCCCTTCGATACTCCTTCCTGTGACCGAAGTGTTGTTGTCGTGTGACAGTTTCCGTTTTTAGTCTCTAGTAGTAGAATTTCTTTTTGTTCACCGTTTTCGTTATGTCGAAGACTAAGGTTGGGAAGCTGGCATCCCAACGCTCTTTCGTTTGGGAGCACTTTTCGCAACCGGTGGAGAGCAAAGTAATTTGTAGCCACTGCAAGCGCTCTTACTCTTACACTGGAGGGACGACGAACCTCCAGAATCATTTGAGAAACAGCCATCCCTTCGTCCTTTCCAAGCCTGCTGCCTCTAGCTCTGTGACAACTGAGCAAGGAACTCGCCCGATATTGGCGTTTGGCGTTCGGCAGTCACGAACACCGTGCAACGCGGCGGAGGTCTCGCAAATTTCCAACCTGCTGGTGGACTGGATCTGCCTGAATATGCGACCTCTGGGGATTGTCGGCGACGGCGGTTTCGTGAGGCTCATGTCGTTCCTGAAGCCTGGCTTCACTGTGCCATCGCGAACCGGCGTCACCGGCATGATCCAAAAGCGCCATGCGAAGGCACGAAAAGAACTGGTCGAGCTGCTCCAGGACGCTCCAGCGCTTGCGCTTACGACGGATGCCTGGACGTCAAAGGCAACGATGTCTTACCTGACGTTCACTGTCCACTTTGTTGCAGCTGATTGGACGTTGCGGAGCTACGTCCTGGAAACAACATACTTCCAGGAGGGCCATACTGCCGACAACCTGGCTGCGGAGACCAAGCGAGTGGTCGAGAGCTTCGGCATCAGCACGAGCAGCGTGAAGTGTATTGTGCACGACGAAGCATGGAACGTAATGGCAGCCAGTCGCTTGCTGAAACGGGAGCTGGCCTGGGATTTCATCGCCTGCGCAGCACATCGTCTGCAAACTTCTATCCGCCATGCTGTTGCTGGTACCCGGCAGGTGGAGAAGTTGCTGGCTGATGCTCGCAGGTTGGAGAGCCATTTTCACCATAGCAGCAAGCAGACAGAGGCCCTCAACGAGCGCCAAGTAGCTATTAGCAGCAATGGTGGCAAGGCGCTGCACAAAATCCAAGATGTCGCCACACGCTGGAATAGCGGCCATGCCATGTTGGTGCGCCTACTGGAGCTGAAGTTGGCAGTCATGGCTGTGCTTCAGGAGGATTCAGCGCACAAGTCGCTCCTTCTAAAGGACCACCAGTGGACGCTTGCGCAGGAGGTTGTCGACACCCTCGGACCTGCAGCAACAGCAACAACTCTCCTTGGCGGTGAGAGGTATTGCACGATGTCTTTGCTGCTGCCGATTGTTTCGTCCCTCCACCGTGCATGGCAGCGGGAAAGTGATGCTGACGATGCCACACTTGCGATTTCTTCCTTTCGTGCTCGTCTGGTTGAAGAGCTGGAGGATAAATTCAGCATCGCTGCAATAGACGCTCTGTCTCTGCCAAGCTTGTCCTCGGCCATTGACCCGAGAAGCCTGCTGTTGGGATACCTTGACAGTGACGAGGACAAGGCTGCCGTCAAGCTGGAATTGAAGCGCATGGCTTCGAGCATTGCTGACCTCTCCAGCATGTCAGATGATACAGGTGAGGGAACCGAGTTCAATAGATTTACAATGTTCGCATGCCAAACAACATTGACACATGTCCTTGTAGAGATTGTCCATCTTGATATATCCAGATCATAGACCTCTAGACCAATGGTAGTCTGTGCTGTGTACATGAAAATGATGACACACATGTAGATGATGTAGCAGACAGTCAGTTACTAAGGAAACGCTTTATTTGTCGTTTGTCTTTCTTCATAGATTGTTCAATTGAGCCTGTTGCAAAGAAGCCATGTCCATCTGATGCCATGGACTTCTTCTTTGGTGCTGATAGCACCTCATCTTCTAAGTCAGGTGACGTGGAGACAGAGGTAAGCACTTACTAAGCATACCTTCTGTGTATTCATGAAAATAGTCTTCATCCAGTGCATGGTGACAGTCAATTTTTTCTGTGCACATTTCCAATTTCACAAATAAAGCCTGGTTCATCACACTACTTTTCCTGTACTTATGTGCGTCTCCTTATGTGCTCGCATTGTTACTTTTTGCTTCATGCAGGTTGCTATGTTCTTCTCCGAGCGAACTGCGCCTTCCTCCACTGACCCATTGCAGTGGTGGAAAGCCAACTCTGGCCGGTACCCACTCTTGTCTTCTGTTGCTCGCCAGCTGTTGTGCTCTCCAGCTACATCTGTGCCTTCAGAGCGTGTTTTCTCTTCCGCTGGGATGATTGTGAACAAGCTCCGGACATCACTGAGCCCCAGCAATGTCGATGCCCTCATCTTCTTGCATTCTAATGCCTCACTTCCATCTGCAACCTCAGAATGTCAATCGCCGCTTGTTCCTTCTGAGCCGCCCTCTGCCTTATCGCAGGATGAAGAGCTGCCACCCTTGCCATCATTATAAAAGATTCTCTCTCTGTGTCTTTCCGTGTGTGTGTGTGTGTGTGTGTGTGTGTGTGTGTGTGTGTGTGTGTGTGTGTGTGTGTGTGTGTGTGTGTGTGTGTGTGTGTGTGTGTGTGTGCTGATGTGTGTGTGTGTGTGTGTGTGTGTGTGTGTGCTGATATGTGTGTGTGTGTGTGTGTGTGTGTGTGTGGCATGGCTTGGCAGGCAATCATAGTAATTTAGCATAAAACAAATAAAAGCATCCAGAAAATCAATATTTCATCATTATTTACTTCTATAATAAGATACATACAGATATTTATTTTTACCGATTGTTGAGCTTTACGTCTGTTCTGCGTTCACGCATATTTTTTCCGAATTGGTCCCGAACTCACCGCTAATTTAGCACTTTTGAATATTGATGAAAATCCTCGAAATAATCGGATACTCGATCGAATATTATGAATGAGTGATCGGATGGTCAAAATAGATACTCGTTTCACCCCTAAAAATTAGGGATTCACTGGCCAGAAAAATCCACTTTAAAAACAGCTGTGTGGTGGATACAAGGCCAAAAATTAGTGACGGTGAATTTATCAGCCTTGCAAGCTGTTGAATGGTGTAAGCCCAGCATAAGTTGCTATGTCTAACATAGCTGTTCGCTATCATCACTTCCGCGATGGGAATGCATGAGTATAAATGTGTGTGTGTGTGTGTGTGTGTGTGTGTGTGTGTGTGTTTGTGCCAGCTAGTTCGGCTGGTAGGTAAACTTATGCCTGTTTGTGTTGGGTCTGTTGCCAACAGGCTCGGCTGCCTGAAGGTGTAATGTTGTACCTGCCACCTTTGTTGGTTTCAGGGTTCATATACTTTCTATTTGAAGTATACATACCTGTTAACCATGGACTGCTTCTGGCTAGATTAACTCTTGTGTAATCAATGGTGCTTGTGAAGCTTTTATCAGATCCATTCTGATTTAGCCACTCACACTAGTAGCAAATATTACCTTCACTAGGGGCAGGACCCCGGGACGGATACCTGATGCCGTCAATCCTTTTTCTGCACCTTGTCCTCACCCACTTACTGAGGTGTGGTGAGCCCATAAGTGGGATCATTTTCAAGTCCACCAAGAGTTTTGGGGATTTCAGGGGGTGTCGGCCGTTGGGCGGTTCAATAGCCAATTGAGTCATCTTTCTAGGATTCATTTTGAGTCTCTCTCCCCTCTCCCGGGGGGACTTACGTGACCAGTTTTGGCAGTGAGCAACAAGTCCTACCGTACAGTGTGTGTATGTGTGTGTGCGCTTGCGTGTGTGTGTGTGTGCGTGTGACGGTCAATTCTTCAGCCTTGCAAGCTGTTGAATGGTGCAATCCCAGCACAAGTTGCTATGGCTTCTGCCGTAGCATTGCTATCATCGCCTCCGGCGATGGGCCTCAAAGGTCAAAGGTGTGCGTGTGTGTGTGTGTGTGTGTGTTAGCGTGCGTGCATGTGTGTGTGCGTGCGAGTGTGTGCGTGCATGTGCGGGTGCGTGTGTGTGTGTGTATGTGTGTGTGTGTGTGTGTGTTTGTGTATGTGTGTGTGTGTGTGTGTGTATGTGTGTGTGTGTGTGTGAAGGGGTGTCGCACATGGTACCGTCACTACGGTACTGACCGTACCACTATTTGCCCAAAGCACCCGTGGATCAAGATAATGCACTGATTCGGGCTCTAATTTTCCAAAATTTCGGCTCGGCCACCCTCCCCCACGATTAAATTGTACTTCCGATGGCTGACCGTATCACACTAAATTACCTTCCCACGCCCCTGTGGTGTGTGTGTGTGTGTGAGAGAGAGAGAGTGTGTGTGAGTGTGTATGTGTGGGTGCGCGCGCATGCGTACGTGCGTGCGCCATATGGTGCAGTGGTATGTGCAGACAATTTCCAATCGTGAGGTTTTAGGGGTTTAACATCGGGCCCTAGACGACCGCTAAAATGGCCAACCGGACAACAAAGAAGTTGAGGCCAAAGACAATGATTTTATTTCTTGTGCATGCATACATAAGAAGTGACGTAATAGGAGTCGGGTTGCTACAGTACTCCCCTGCCAGGGGTGAGGTCGGGAGGAGTGAAGCACGATAAACAAGAAAAAAGAGAGAGAATGGAAGTGCGGTATGTACAAGGCGGAAAGGAAATACAAAAAAAAGGAAATACAAAATATAATACAATATGCACAAGAGAGCGATTTGTGTTTTTGAAATTTGTTGACAACGTGGCAACAAAGACCGAAACCAAAGTCAAAGAGCAGGAAGTGGAGAACCGAGAGATGCATGACAGAGGCGGGTTAACGTGTCAGAGGTGTGTTAACGTGACAGAGGTGAAGGGCATGGCAGAGGCAGAAAGAAAGAAAAGAGGAAACGTACGGGTAACAGAGGATTGTTATCATGTCAGAGGCGGCTGCATGTTGCAGGCTTGGCGGGGTACCAGCAGGAGCACTGCATTGGGGCGAGGTGTGCCGGTTGAGGTGGGGACTGATGGAGGCGTGCACAGCTCCACTTGTAAGTCCTGTGAGCCACACAAATGCCGGCGTGCGTGCACTGTTGAGCTGGTACGGACGGTGGAGGTGGTGATGGCAGGATAAAAACTCCGAAGAGTGCATGGCGGGGTCACCAATAGATGATAGGATGCGTCAGCAAAAACATACTTTGGAAGAGAGATCCCGTCGTCTCCAAAATAAGCGTGAACGAGCGATTCAGCGCCGGTCAAAGGAAACGTCGGAAGAGACATCAGGACAGACATCCCGTCGACTCCAGAACGCCCGTGGTCGGCAGAGTCAGAACCGGTCCCAGGAAACGTCAGGACAGACATGCCGTCGACGCGCAGAAAAACTAAATCTGCAGCCACTTTTGCCGTCGGACAGGATACGTTTTTTAGGAGACTGTCAAGTTATGTAATGTGCTCCACAGGCAATCATGCATTCCGCCGTCCTCATTGGCTAAACAGGTCAATGTATTACTACAAAAAGGCCAGAAAATCCGATTACTGTATTAAAATCAAATAATTTTCGCTGGCGATTTAATTTCGCTGATTTCGTCGCTTGGTGCCAACCGGCCAAAGTAAATCGCAGGCCAAAGTTTGTCATAGAGGCAAATGATGTATCATTGAGCAATGGATGCATGTGAGAGCAAATAATACCGATCGATTTCTTTTTGAAAACTCTAATCGGCCAAAGTTTAATGACGGTGAAAAGTTTCGTTTCTCATCGGCCAAAGTTTCTCATCGGCCAAAATTTGTTGATTTACAGTATCAGGAGATAAAAAGAAAAGGAGGAGCAAACCAAAAGTGGATGAAATTAGAGAAGTAACAATCCGCAATAAATTCTGCAAAAACTTTTGCCTAACTAATGTTCCAAAAAAAATACTCATATTAAATGCATTCAATGTATGCAACACTTTTTATTTATTTATTTCACCTTCCCGTGGCCAGAGAATATTATCTCCACACCACCATGTTTTTATTTTTGTTTAGGTTTTCTCACTCCATTGTCGTGAGTTCCCTTTGGGAACGGATACGAAAATAATAATAATAATAATAATAATTTTGGATTGAGTTTCTTTCCTTTCTTCCTCTTCCTTCCCCTATTTCTTGTCCCTTTGGTTTTTGGCTTTTTCCTTTTCTTCACTTTCTTTTTGCTGTCCCACCCATGGAAATATTTCCCGGTGGGTCTGGCTTATCGCCTTCGAAAGAAGTGAATAAAGGAGACATAATAATAAAAATAATATTCAAACTGATTGAAACGATTTTGCAATACAATGATGGGGCCAATCAACGGAAAAGAAACATTTTCATCAGTTCTAATAACATGTGCGATGAGCTAGGCAAAAAAGCATAAAAACATAGCGTAGGGCCCTGCGCTTCCAAGCTCTTTCGTTTCTTGCGCATGCTTGTGTATCAGAAGGTTGCGGGTTCGAATCACGTCGGGGTCACCGAATTAGGGGTTTTATGTCGGGCCCTAGATGACGGCTAAATGGCCAACCGGACAACAAAGAAGTTGAGGCCAATGAGAATGATTTCATTTCTTGCGCATGCTTATGTATGAAGTGATGTAATAGGAGTCAGGTCACTACAAGGTTCCGGGTTCAATTCCTGACGATTATGGTCACACACGTCTTTCTACTCTTTCTCATTTACCTAGCTCTTCGCTCATTCTCCTGTGTGGTTACCAATAGACAGTGCATGCCAGAACATGTGGTGTGGTGTGTGTATGAAAAAAGCAAAAGAAGCAAAAAAGGGGTTCACTGGACAGAAAATAGTACTTCAATCAACTGTTTGGTGTAGACCAGGCTTAGTGGCGGTCAATTCATCAGCCTTGCAGAATGCTGAATGGTGTAATGCCTGCACAAGTTGTTATGTCTAACATAGCCGTTCGTCATCATCGCTCCCACAATGAACATGTCAAAGTCGGAGTCTCAGTGTGTGTGTGGGGGGGGGGGGGGGGGCTCACACACATTATGTATGTGGGTGATTGTGTGTACCGTACTCACTCGATTAGAAGACCCCCTGGAATAAAAACCCTCTTGAATAATAGCCTCCCCCCCCTTTTACAAGCACTGTCTAAAAAAATCTCTCGAATAAAAGCCCAGACTCCTATACGCGAAGCGTGGGGTGACCAGGTAGTGGCATGTATGTTAAGTGCGTAAAAAAACATCTCGTGTATGTTCATATTGGTACATGTGCTGGCCAACGTAGTGTGTGCAAACTAACTCGGGGCCGAGTTGCTGTGAATATGAAATTTTAGAGATTCGATTGGAATACTGGTATGGAATAAACAATATAAAACCCTCTCGAATAGAAGCCCGTCTTGAATATAAGCCTCGTCAAAATTGGTATTGAAAAATACATGATCCCGGCTTTTAATCCAGTCAGTACTGTATGTGTTCGTGTGTGTGTGTGTGCCTGTGTTTGTGTGTGTGTGTGTGTGTGTGTGTGTGTAGGTGTGTGCACGTGTGTGTGTGTGCGTGTGTGTGTGTGTGAATGTGTGTATGTGTATTGTATGTATGTGTGTATGTGTGTATGTGTGTATGTGTGTATGTGTGTGTGTGAGTGTGTGTGTGTGTGTGTTTGTGCGTGCGTGCGTCGATGTGTAATAATATGATAAGTCTCGTTAAAAGACTTTTTTATGTCCCAACTTGCCATAGATTATGTAGTAACTTGCCATAGATTATGTAGTAACGAGGGAGGACCTGTACACCGTATTGAACTCTTGAAGGACATAGTCATCACAGTGTAGAGTTTTAAATACATTTCGTTTTCATGCAGGTTTTCACTACTGATGGAAACTTCATTTCCATGTTCGGATCAAAGGGGAAGTCAGATGGTCAGTTCAACAACCCTCAGCACATTGCCGAGGATAGGCATGGCCACTTCCTGGTCACTGATGAAAACAACCACCGTGCTCAAGTAAGCTGATTAGTGATTAGTTTGTCTTACCTTTTGCTTCTAGCACTACTTTGGTTGCCAAGATACATCGTACCCTGTGGCAAGAGTGTGAAGCTGTAATTGAAATGCCTTTGGCCATTTTAGATTGAGAAGTCTCACCATGTGCTAGACTGGCAAGATGAAAACCTACTGAAGTGAATTGATGACACTCGAGCCATTGCTGAGAGAAATACATTCATTTGCAGTGTGGATATTGTGACAAATAGAAACAAGAAACCAGTGATATTGTCTCTTTTTGGCCAGGTCGAACACTTTCTAATCGCCCTTCGTACATATCCAGGGGATAATAGTGAACAAACAAAAGCAGCGAAATGAAAGCAATCTCTGGCGGAAGGAGGAGAACATCTTCAACAAATCAGCAAACCCTGGACTATGTGCACAATGACCCCTGTTGCATCTGCACAAATACACCACATAACTGCAGTAGCTGTGGACCAGGTGATGTGAACTATGCCATCAGGGACCGTGTCTTTAAAGTGGTGCACTCTTGGGTGGTTTTAAGAGCTCTTGGGTAGGTAAGCACTCCTGGGTGGCTAAGCACTCCTGGGTGGCTAAGCACTCCTGGGTGGCTAAGCACTCCTGGGTGGCTAAGCACTCCTGGGTGGCTAAGCACTCCTGGGTGGCTAAGCACTCCTGGGTGGCTAAGCACTCCTGGGTGGCTAAGCACTCCTGGGTGGCTAAGCACTCCTGGGTGGCTAAGCACTCCTGGGTGGCTAAGCACTCCTGGGTGGCTAAGCACTCCTGGGTGGCTAAGCACTCCTGGGTGGCTAAGCACTCCTGGGTGGCTAAGCACTCCTGGGTGGCTAAGCACTCCTGGGTGGCTAAGCACTCCTGGGTGGCTAAGCACTCCTGGGTGGCTAAGCACTCCTGGGTGGCTAAGCACTCCTGGGTGGCTAAGCACTCCTGGGTGGCTAAGCACTCCTGGGTGGCTAAGCACTCCTGGGTGGCTAAGCACTCCTGGGTGGCTAAGCACTCCTGGGTGGCTAAGCACTCCTGGGTGGCTAAGCACTCCTGGGTGGCTAAGCACTCCTGGGTGGCTAAGCACTCCTGGGTGGCTAAGCACTCCTGGGTGGCTAAGCACTCCTGGGTGGCTAAGCACTCCTGGGTGGCTAAGCACTCCTGGGTGGCTAAGCACTCCTGGGTGGCTAAGCACTCCTGGGTGGCTAAGCACTCCTGGGTGGCTAAGCACTCCTGGGTGGCTAAGCACTCCTGGGTGGCTAAGCACTCCTGGGTGGCTAAGCACTCCTGGGTGGCTAAGCACTCCTGGGTGGCTAAGCACTCCTGGGTGGCTAAGCACTCCTGGGTGGCTAAGCACTCCTGGGTGGCTAAGCACTCCTGGGTGGCTAAGCACTCCTGGGTGGCTAAGCACTCCTGGGTGGCTAAGCACTCCTGGGTGGCTAAGCACTCCTGGGTGGCTAAGCACTCCTGGGTGGCTAAGCACTCCTGGGTGGCTAAGCACTCCTGGGTGGCTAAGCACTCCTGGGTGGCTAAGCACTCCTGGGTGGCTAAGCACTCCTGGGTGGCTAAGCACTCCTGGGTGGCTAAGCACTCCTGGGTGGCTAAGCACTCCTGGGTGGCTAAGCACTCCTGGGTGGCTAGGCACTCCTGGGTGGCTAAGCACTCCTGGGTGGCTAAGCACTCCTGGGTGGCTAAGCACTCCTGGGTGGCTAAGCACTCCTGGGTGGCTAAGCACTCCTGGGTGGTGGGGTTTATTTGATCTATTATAAAACTACAGTACAAGGCCAAATCAAGGATTGTTTGTCGCTACTTCAAGTTTCATGCTTTCACAATCATGCGGCAACAATGCCTTTGCGGTGTTGAGCACTGTCAGCACACTAGGTGCATCCCACGATCTATTTTTTTAAATTACGGACTCTTTGGGGTTTGGTCTTGCTTCTACTTTTTTTTAAGGAGGCTCCCACCTATAGGAGTAAAATAAATGGTCCATGGACACCCTGTTGTTTTATGCATAGAATTGTGGAGTGCTGTCTCCTCTTCACTTTGGTATAGTTTTAAGGTATGGTCACCAGGCATATACATGTAAGAGCTATTCCGGGGCATTTAGTGTGTGTACAATTTCTTGATTTTTGGGAAAAACGGCAAAAAATCGTTATTTGCCCACAGAACCCTAGTGTGTTGTGGATACCATATTTTTTCTTTGGTAAATGCTTCAAGCATCAAACGTGGACAGGTCTAGGGTGAAATAATCAAACTTAGTGCTTTACTGTCATGTGTAGGGCCCCTAGTTTGACATTTCCCGCTTCCGAATTTCATTCCAGTGTCAATTGCAAAATGGTCTTCACTGCAATATGTTGTCCATGGACTTGTAATGTTCTGGGATATTATTATATTTACAGTACTGGTCAAACCAAAGCACTAACAAAGACAAAACTAAAGACCAAGAACCGGGAACATAAAGCACAGAGAAAGGGAACAAAACAGATACACAAGTCTAAATCGTCGCCATCAAACTATCGACCAGTGTCGTTACTGAGCATCCTCTCCAAGGTCATGGAGACCATAGTCAACAGGGCAATGAGCAACTTCATGGAAACGAATCACGTCCTGTCAGAACGGCAATTTGGATTTCGTCGCGGCCACAGTGCAGCAGACCTGCTGACTGCTCTCCACCACCAGTGGGTGCACACCGCCGGAGATATAGGAGCTTCTCGAGTGCTGGCCATCGACATTGCTGGAGCATTTGACCGGGTGTCTCACACTGGTGTGTTGCACAAGGCTAGAGTGTATGGCATCTCGGGAGACCTGCATCGGTGGCTCCAAGACTACCTCTGCAACCGCACACTTCAAGTCCTCATCTCCGGCCAGACATCAGCCAGACGCCCAGTTAAGGCTGGGGTGCCACAGGGCAGTATCCTGGGGCCCACCTTATTCTTGGTCTACGTCAACGACCTTGAAGACCACCTCCCAATCGGCTCCAACCTTGCCTCATTCGCCGATGACACAACCCTATACGCCGAAATTGCAACGCTCGCTGCTGTTCCTGACAACGCTAGAGTACTCCAGGCTGCTGTCGACCTAGTATCCAGTTGGAGCTCGGATTGGAAAGTGCAGTTCGAGCCAGCCAAATCTCAGGCCCTTACAATTTCCCACCATCGTCGGGACTGGCCTATACCCCCAATTGTCTTCAATTGAACTCCTGTCGAGGAGCAGCCCTTCATCAAAGTACTCGGCATCACGTTTGACCATCAGCTAAAATTCAGCCAGCATATCCGAACTGTTGTAGTCCGAGCAACGCAGAGACTTGGAGCCTTGCGCAAGGCATTTCACTTGCTGACTATTCCTGCCCGGCTTCGAGCCTACAAAGCCTTTGTCCGGCCGGTTATGGAGTACTGCCCAATCGTCTGGATGGGGGCAGCTCCTTCCCACTTGAATCGGCTGGACTGGGTGCAGGAGCGAGCCATCAAGGCAATACATCCGCAATGCTGGCTTCCTAGCCTCATAATTCGCCGCACCATCGCTGCCCTCTGCCTCCTGTATAAAGCCCTTTGCGATAATTCTCCCGCTCTTCTCTCGAGAATGGCTCCACCCCCGACACACCAACCCAGGACCACACGCCTCACCCGCCAGGCTGTACGACTGTCCACCGCGCATCCCCATCAGTTACAGAATGTTCTTCCTGCCAATTCCCGGAACAATGTGAGCCGAGCCTTTCCCCACTCCGTCATCCCAATTTGGAACCAGCTGCCTACCTCTATCATTCCCCACCCATTTCACCCAAAGAACATCCAAAAGTTCAAGACAGCAGCTTATCACCGTCTCCTCAGAACGAACTGGAACTGGGCCACTCATAGCATACGCGAGTAAGAGGGTACAGTGTCCTACCCTGCTTGGACATACATGTAATCTTTCCTCACGGACAGTCTCCTCTTGAATTTAAAAGTCTAACAGCGTTCACATCAATATTCAACTTATTCTTTTGCTCACTGAGCAATACAATCTTTCCATTTTCTTTCTTCTGTTTTCTTTTTCAATTTAATCCTCCCCACCCAATATCTCTTTGGTGCGTCCATGGAGCTATGAAGCCGAGACCTCTGGTCGGCGGAGCTTAATGGGCCCCACCACCACACTCCATCATTCACCCCAGTGTCTGGAGATATGTGGATTTTGTAGAGAAAAAAAACAAAACATATAAATATCGTACAAGATACTATAATAGTACAATACTATAATATAGTATTAACCAGGAGGCCTGCAACATCACATTCCTCCTTTTCTCGAAAGTCTACAACTACAGTCCATAGAAATACTGACCATAGCAAACTTCAACGTAGCATTTCAACAAACTAAATAAACCAAAATAGGCTGTCCAAAACGCGACGAATAACCAAAAGCGTTCTATCAATCCATGTCATAAAATATATAAATAAATTACACAGTATCATGCAAGTTGGTTGCTCCAACGAGGAGCACACGCTTCTTGCCGAACTTGACACTTGACTGACTCACGACTGCCATCCGGAGCACACCCGGAGCACATCGCACCTTCCGCTCCGCAAACCTGAAAGAAAGCACCACTCCCTGCTCAAAACACAGTGCCATCCGGTGTGCTCCGGATGGCAGTCGTGAGTCAGTCAAGTGTCAAGTTCGGGAAGAAGCGTGTGCTCCTCGTTGGAGCAACCAACTTCATGACTATTACCGCCGAAGTCGCAACTTCTAAGTTAGTATCATGCAAGCTCATACATTGTTAGCCGAACGACCAGTCGAACACAACTGTCACACAGCCTAGTCAATGCAGAACAGAACAAGGGCCGGACAGGTTCCTTAGCATTTCACGCTTAACCTGTCTGACCTGCGGGGCTCCGCACGATGCTGGGGTGCCTCTTGCACTTCGGGGCTAGGTTCAGCTGGATGCTGCTGCCGGAATGGTTTGGTGAACTGTACGTTCCTCCGCACAAGCTTCCCATCTGGTGCCTGAACCACTACTTGGTCCCCTTTCCGAC